AGTTCGATCCCCGCCCTGGAGGTGACCACATGGCGTGGCAGACCTCTCCTGACCTGCCCACTGCTCCCCTCAGCAGTGCACTTCATCAGTCTACCTGTTCTGCTCCCCGCTCTGTCTCTGGTGAAGCCTCTCACCACCCCTGCACCTCTGGCCTCTACCCCAGTTCTGTGTGCATAAATAAATAAATCTTTAAAAAAAGAAAATGGACATCTAATTTTGGAGTAGAATTGTGCCTTTACATTTTCTTCTTCTTTTTCTTCTTTCCCCTTCTTTCTTTCCCTTTCATTTTTTCCTTCCTTCTCCCTTAAATCAGAAGTGCAACACAGCCTTACATTTTTCTAATTATGACAACATCCAATATAAAAAGAAGAGAAAGACAACAGTAGCTGTGAAGGGACACCAAGGTCAAGGTGAGAGAATTCACCACACACCATATGGAAAAAGGCGGATTTGTTGATGACCTGTGAGAAAAACAGGGGGTGAGGCAGAAGTGTCTGCACCTCCAGGCAAGTGTGAAGCCCCATTTATACTCTGAGCTCATGGGCTCTCTAAGGTTTAGGACACAGGTCTGTATGAGCCGATGTCTACTAACGTGCCAGACTCTGATCAGTCTACATCAGCCACTGGGGCCAAAGGTTGAATTTTATTATTTTTTTAAGATCATGATTTCTTATTTTTTAAAGATTAGGTGCGGGATCAAACTGATGCTGAAGTGGCTTTAGCTTGTCAGTGCTGTGCTTTAACCTGCTGCGCCACCAGGGAGGGCCCCATGGGTTGGCTTTTGGCCCTGTTAATGCAACAATCTTTTGGTTCCTTAATCTGCCAGCAGTCCCAAGGCCTGGTTCCCATGGTAACACTTCAGTTCCCCTTATCTGTTCAAAACTTCCCACCCCTGTCTGCAAGGCAAGGAAGAGACTGGGCTTTTACCCCTACAAGCCCCAAGGATCCTTGTATCTGCAGTGTGTACCTTACTGAGTCCATGTAGTATATACACATATTTAATCTCATATAGTTTACTGTTTTCATCTCCAGAATTATGATTTGGGCTTTAAAAAAAATATCTTCCACTTCACACTTAACTTTGTAAACATATAGAAACCCTTAATATTTATATTTAACATGGTTATTTTTATGTCTTTGTTGATTTTAATATCTGTGAGATTGGTTTCAATATACTCTTCTCTTCAGTGGGTTGCCTTTCCCTGTTTCCTTCTTTGCCATTGTGTTTGAGTACTTGGAAACCATCACGAACTTGATCATCTTATTTCTGTATTCTTACACATGATCTTGAGTTTTATTTTGGAATGCATTTACTTGGAAACTGATAAGAGGCTTTTAGGACCTGTTTTTGTGATTGATGAGGTAGATCCAGAGCAGTGTTCAGTCTAGCATTAAGTATTTCCATAATTGAGGCAAGGTCTCCCTGAGTTTGTTCCTCCAAGCACTGTGAACTGTGAAGCTTTCAAGTGTGGGAGTTGGGAGGGCAACACTCCCCCTGGGCTTGCAAAAGCACCAGTCCTCTCAAATGGTTCTTTCCTCAGTCTTGAGCAGGTTGCTAGCAAATGTATTCTGATCTCGGCTGAATATGGACGTCTCATCCTTTGCAGAGTTCTAGGCTTCTCTGTATAACACTCTTGTAAAGGATGTGGCTGGTGAACTGCTGCTACCTGGGACTTATGTGAAGAGATTTCACAAGTTCCACTGGGGTCTTATCTGGAAGACCTTGTGCCCCTGTCTGGAAACTCACTCAAAGAAGCGAGCTGGGACAATATAGGGCTTCCCCATCTGTGCCCCCCTATTTCCAAGCCACTGCCTTTCAGTCTGATAACTAATGTCCAAAACACTATTGTTCATATATTTTATCTGTATTGGGGGTTATTTTAGGACAGTGGGTAAGCCTGATTCCTCCTATACCATCTGGTTAGAAATGGAAGTCGTAAGTTCTGTTTTTTTTTTTTTTTAAGGATTTATTTATGCAATCAGAACTGGGGTATAGGGGTGAGAGGATTCACCAGAGACAGAGTGGGGAGCAGAACAGGCAGATAGACTTAAATCGACTGCTCAGGGGAGCAGTGGGTGAGACAGGAAAGGTCTTCTGTGCCATGTGGGTCACCTCCCTGGCCAGGGATGGAACTCGCACTGAAGCGTTTGAGGCTAGCTTCATAGTGCTGCGCTTTAACTAAACCACTGCGCCACCAGGGAGGGCCCAAGTTCTGCTTTTTAAATACAAAACATTTTCTGTAGGAAGTCACAGAGTCACAACTGAGTTCATACCCCTCTCTCACCCTGACTTACGCTGCTCCACGCACATGGACTTCCCTTCTCTTCCATCACATCAAGCTCATTCCCTTCCTGGCCTTCACAAGCCAGCACTGGAAATCTCTCCCCTGGATCTTCACATCCTGGACTCCTTATTATTGTCCTAACATCACTTACTTATGTAGCATTATGTATGTATCAATGATATGATACATACATATATCCTTAGTATCACTCCATATTATCATCCCTTGTCATCATTTACCAGGCAGATACTCACAAATCATATTTCCTTGGGCTTTTTTTTGTTTGTTTGTTTTTGAAATCTCAATAGTACTTATTACAAGCTGAAGTAATTTTGTTTACTTATTTAATGATTCATTGCCAATGTCTCTTCTACCTCAGCCCCCTGACACACCTTAGAATGAAAGATAGGACTTGTTCACAGCACATAAAAACACACCAGTCACAAAGTAGGTAATCAGAGGAAGGGAAATTCAATGCATACTACATTTGCTTGAAAACCAGTTACCCCAAGGAACTGTATCTGTGTCATACCCCATATGTTTATTTGTCTATCAGAACGAGGACTGGATGGACGCTGAATGTGTGTGTGTGTGTGTGTGTGTGTGTGTGTGTGTGAGAGAGAGAGTGAGTGTAGGCACGCCCGTGTGTACAGAACAAACCTTATCTGCACGGCTCCAGATGCATTTAGGGGGTGGTTCTCCAGAGACGGGAATCTCAAGACGAAGCTTATTTCCTGCAATCACTGTCACAGTGTTGTCAGCATCAAGCCCATCCAGGATGATTTTGGGAGGATCTGGAACGTGACATACAGCCTGGGTTACCTGGCAGTCATGCCGTGAGCATCTGGGCTAGTGCTCAACCAGTGGTCAGTCTTCTATGTGGCCAAAAAAAAATGAGGGGTCAAGGTGTCTGGTGCCAAGCACCTTGCAAAATTACTTCATTCTAAGACTAATCTAAATTGTTATGATTATTGAATAATATGAATTCATGTAGTTTTTCTTTCAATATGACATCATTTTGAATGTGCTCTAATTGCATGGTGGACAAAAACAAACAAATAAGAACACAACTTTGCAATGATTTCTTTTAAATACTTACCGATAACATGAACTTTGCCAGTCAAAGTAATAGTGTAAGCGTCTGGTGCAAATACATATTCACCTTCATCCTCAAGGAGAGCATTGGCTATCACTAACTTGTGGATTCTAGGGAAATGAGAAAAAAAATATTTTTTAAGACTTATTTATTTATGCACACAGGACTGTGGTACAGGTCAGAGGTTCAGGGGTGGTGAGAGGATTCACCAAAGACAGAGTGGGAGCAGAACAGGCTGACTGATGAAGTACACTGCTGAGGGGAGCAGTAGGCGAGTCAGGAGAGGTCTGACGTGCCATGTGGACAACCCCCGGGGGGGGAACCGAACCAATCAAAAGTGGTTTTAGCTTCTCAGTGCTGTGCTTTAACCCGCTGCACTGCCAAGGAGGGCCCAAGAAAAAAAAATTTTATAAGACTTTGCAAAGATTTAGATTGAATATGGTCCAAATTAAAGATACACCTGATCTTTTCCTGATTACTTGCAGACAAGAGAGAAAGAGAGAGGTAATGTTTATTTTGGACTATGAAATTTTATTTTTGAATACAACCTAATTATTAGGTATTCAACAGTCTGTTATTCCTTTTCTTATCCCATAGCTTTAAGAAGGCTAAAATATATCATTTTACTAAATGCCACACTTTAATATTCCAGGAGTTACTAAGAATAATCTTGACTTTGACTTTATATGCAAACCTAAGAGCAAAAGATTTTAACTTCATTGAAATCATGAATCTCTGACTGAAAAAAAGAATTTTCTGTGGATTTTTTTGGCTTATAATTTCAGAGGGCTTATGTCTTCTCCCCAACACCCAGAAATTCACTCATGATTTCCTAAGGCTGTAGAGGCCCAAGGTTAAGAACCTTTCCTTGATCTCCAGGCTATTAGACCCCTCCCATCCCAAACTACTGAGAGGTAATGTGATTTTTATTGGTTAAGGACAATTAATCCATTTCTGCCATTTCCTCAACTGGAATTCAGCATCAACCCTCCAACCTCACATTGAGAGGAACAAATTGGTCAAAGAGTTTTGAACAAAGTACCACACTGTGCAGATACGAGGTCACACGTAGGGCTTGTGTTAAATCACCTATCCTTCCTTTTTGGAAGCAAATAATCAGAAACAGACCCTCCTCCCCCCAAATCCTCACCAAATCTGTAATTTAGGAAGTGGAGAAAGTAGAGATGGGACAGCCCTCCCTTATGTATCACCTGGTTTTCTTACCTTCCTTTGTGAACAACCTTGAGACGGTCACTCTCTTGAACTGGCAGGCCATTTTTAGTCCATTTTCCTGGTACAGGTTCAGAGATTTCACACTTCAAACAGATTTCTTTTCCAAGTTGCACAGTCTGATCAGTCAGAGGTGTCAATATCTTCAGAGGTTTCACTACCGGAGGGAGAGATGATTATTAAGTGCCAGACTCAAAGATCAGACAAGCCAACACGGTGTCATTTTGTAGTGTTACAGCCAGTTTTTCCATAATGCTTGTTTTGAAAAAAAGAACTTGTTCCAATGCAATTAATGCATGAAGGGACAATGGGAGCATACTTGTAAGTACACCCTAAGTCGGCACAACGACATAATGAACTAATGCATTTCTCAGAATGCATCGCCTTTGGGGTTTATTATACATTTAATAGATGTAAGACTTGCTACTCTTTTTTCTGATGAGCTGATTTTCATTTGTTTTTCTTTAATGTGTTGCTGACAGAATTTTTGAGTTTTGTGAGCAGCAGCCCACTTTCCCCTTTAGTTCTATGATTATTTTGCATGACTCATATAATGTAGTGATTTTCAGAAATAACTATTTTGCATTATAGCAGAACTGGCAATAATTGTTCCACATAGATTTAAATGTCAGATAAGGATCTGCCTATGGTTGAAAACTTGATATTAAACAAAGTGGGCACAATTCTATGAAACATAAGGGGTGTGACTGAGAAGAGTTCTGAATAATGCAGTGGTCATATGAATTAAACTTTACTATAAAAGAAGTACAGAAGCAGGATTTCTACTCAGCATGTATTACCAGTCTTAATTTTCATGACCCACTGAAGGGGTAACGGCCTTTGAGCATTAACTACCACTAGGGGGCATTAGAAGAAGACTCTTCCATGCCTCTGAATCCAAACAATTAACAAATGAGTTTCTTTAATATTCTCATGAGAGCCCTGTAAATTTGAGGGCTCCCTTCAATTTGAGGGCTCATTTCAAGTGTAGTTGAAGAATAATGAATGCTTATTTCATGAATAGATAGCAAGTTCACCTGTTAGGAAGCAAACACTATCAGGATTTGATACCATATGTAAGTATCTACCATATACGTTTGTGGGATTAGAGTCTATCTTCACCATCCGGATAAATTCTTTGGGAGGCTACTTTTATATTTCCTTCCCAATATTAGCATTCTGCTACTACAGTGAGTAGTGAGTTTCTTTCTCAGAGACCCCAAATGCTATGACATAGACCCTCAGATGAACTGGGATCCATTTATAGCTTTGTAATTGCCACATGTAGGAGTCAGCTAGATTGAGAAATTTCCTAAAATTGAGTAAACAAGCAATGCTACTGGTAAGCCAACCTGAAAGACATCCAAGGAAGTCTCACTTACAGTCAACACTAAGTTTAGCAGATGATTGTCCGCCTGTTGTCATCACAGAATATTCTGCAGTGTCAGACTTTGTAGCTCCTTCTATGATCAAAAAGTGTTTTTTGCCCTCAACTCGAAACTTATAGCGGGGGTTTGAACCAGGAATGATCTCCTCACCATTCTTAAACCTGGGTTAGAACAGATTATAAAATTTTTTTAATGAAAGACTCTTGAGAACTTGAGAAGGTGGTCCTTTTTTTTTT